GTAACAGGACGTCGCAATTACTCTGCTGTCTGCTTTTCAAAATTAAGTGGCCTGTCTCTGTGAGTGTGTATACATTACTACTTCTGTCCACATGGTGTTTACGGCTGTGAAAGGCACAGTTCTTTGAGTCTAATCACAATGCAGTTATCATTACTATGTAGTTTCAGAATATTTTCAACCCAAAAGGATATCACGGTCTGTTGGCTGCTCATTTTTCATTCCTCTTTCCCAACATCCGGCCAAGATAACTGCTATTTCTGTGGCTTTACCTTGAGAGTTCTGTTGGCCTAAGAAAGCTGCATTACCAACCAAAGACTCATAGTCTGAATTCACTAGCTGCTCTGAGAGACAGGGGTTGCACACTGTCCTGTGTGAAGCCGCTGAAAACCTGTTTGGAGGGTCTGCTATGTCCTGACTCGACAACAATGGGTAACTTGGTGTTAAGTAGAATCACTTCTACACAAGCAGTCCTTTATGACTAAGTTTAGGACTAAGGTCTCTCACTCAGCATGATGTTTTCAAGGTTCAGCAACACTGTAGCATGCATTCTTTCTTATGGCTGAAAGGATGTCCTATACTTGGCTTATTTATTCATCAGCGGGCAGACATTTGGGCTCTTTCTACCTTCCGACTATTATTATTGTGCTGCTATGGTCTTCCCCCTCCCCCCACTCCCGGTGCTGCTATGATCTTTTGTGACCAAGATTTTTGTTTGAACAGCTGTTTTCAACTCTTCTGAGTCTATGCTGAGCCAAAGAATTGCTCAGATATATGGTAATTCTACTTCTTTAATTTCTTGAGAGGCTGCCAAATAGTATTGCATAATTTTACCTTCCCAACAGCAATGCATGAGGGTTTCAATTTGTTTATATGCTTGGCAACACTCACTATTTTCCTTAATTAAAAAAAAATTACGGTTATGCTAAGTGTAAAGTGACATCAGACTGTATCTCTCTGATTTGTGTTTCTCTAATGGTGTGAGGACAGTAGAAGAGGTCAAAGGTTTTGATCTACTGCTTACAAGGCTGCTATGAGCTGAGTCGACGTAAGGACATCTAACTAAGAACATCTGTCATCTTCTCCTGCGCTCACTGGCCATTTGTCTTTGTTTGAGAATGTATATTTAGATTTTCGATCCATTTCGAGGTAACTCTGTACATGTGAGATTACGAGCCAAACTTTATTTCTCTGTACACGTCTGGAGGTTCATGTGTGAAGACGTTGGATTCTGAAAGGTCTGTTCTTTTTGTTTTGGTTGAGGGTCAGGTGTGGACTGTTTGGTTGTTTTAATTTTGTTCATAACTGTGTGTGACCTGATTGGATTTGACTAGCAATGAGCTGTGGGCTGGAAGCCTCTTGTTCAGAGCCAATCAGGGGCCTGGTGGGTGGGCCTGTGTATTTAAGTCAGCTGGATCCTTGGGCCTGCGGCCATCAGAGGCCCTCAGGCCAGGTGTTAATTGTGTTTAGAATGAACATTCCTCTAAGTGGTACAGCACTAGTCTGTCAATTCGCTGTACTGAGGTAACCTGGGGTTGCTGTGATACTGAACACTTTGCCACGGGTGAGTCAAATGCCATAATGGTTACCCATAGTGTACAGTGTTTGGTGGATTAAGACAGGCTTGGAAGCAGGAGTGGCATCTGCTTCCTAAATAATATGCCTCTGGAAATTCTATGAACTTAGAGAAACAACAATAATTACAGAACAGGGTTCAGGTCTTTTGTTCACAGGATCACTATGAGTTGTGCTCAACTCAATAGCTTGACACCACCACCATGACCATGAGGTGGAAATATAGCTGTCTCAGTAGAGATATTGTAGCTGATGTTAGATGGATCTTGGCTGAAAGCAGGGAATACCAGAGGAATGTCTATCTGTGTTTCATTGACTATGCAAAGACATTTG